TTATTTTTAATTTTCAGTTTTCAAACTATATTTTGTCAATATATTTTTAATTTGAATTTTTTAAAATTTAATTTCAAAAAGACTTCACTTACCGGTGCATTAAGCAGCTCATTTAAACGCGCTGAGACTTCCTGTCCTCGTTTTGGTCTTATTAATAGATAAATATTTTTTATGTCTGGACATGAACGTAATAACTTTTCAACAAGAACCTGCAAAGATAAGAGAAGAATTTTATTAGTATTATTATAAATTTTATTTATATAATAAATAAAGGTAAATAGTTAAAAATACTTTACTTATTCTTAACAAAATAATTAAAGCAGCGCTTGATTCCCTGAAGTCAATTAAGAAAACAGAATTGTTCTTACACCAACAGATATTCTGTTACCTGCGACTTTATATTTTATAATGCATAAAATTTCATTATATTGCATCATCTCATATTTTCATATGATCAGGGATTTATCCGGCTCACTGCATATAATAATTATATATACACATAATTTATCAGTAGACTGAAGGTGTCTGATTCGGTTACCTGTTCTATATTTGGATAGTAAAACGTTTTTGAGATCACATTCTTTTGGCCAGTACAGCCGACACTCATTCCGGGACAAAAAAAAAAGTTACCAGTGAACATCTAGCTGATCCCAAAAAGGTATTACTACCATCTTTGCGTATTAAATTGCGTTTACTGAAGAATTTTGTTAAGACAATAGCCAGAAAAAGAAGAGGGTTCTTGTATCTAAAACAAAAATTTCCAAGAGTTAGTGAAGCAAAAATTAAGGAGGGTATATTTGTGGGTCCGCAAATAAGAGAACTAATGAAAGATAAAACATTTGAGGAAATGCTCAATGAAACTGAAATAAGAACCTGGAGTGCCTTTAAAAGCGTTGCTAAAAACTTTCGTGGAAATGTGAAACCTGACAATTACAAAAATCCTGTGACTGAACTACATATTTAGTGTCTATAAAAATATGGGTGGCAACAGGTGCTCTGGACTCCCATCTGGATTTTTCTCCGGAAATTTATGGGACATAAGTGTTGAACATGGCGAACGGTTCCAGGAAGATATTTCTGCTATGGAGAAACCGTACCAAGGGATGTGGAGTGCCAGTTTTCTTGCCTATTACTGCTGGGTTAGGGATACTGGTTAAGGGATACTCCAAACACAAAATATCGCCGAAAAACATCGACAGTCACATTTTAAGGTACTCTTTGGTTAATAAAATAATATAACAATAATGTATCTATCGCTTTTTTTTTTAAACAAAAATCTTCATAGCAAAAAAACTATGGGATATAGAAGGAATCTGTGGCTATTTCTGTGACAATTTTTTTCGTTTTTAACACTTTTTTAAGCAGAAATCGAACAGAAGCAATATAATTATTAAATTTTATAAAACTATATTTTTTGACAATTCTTTTATTGCTTCTCAATTTAATACCTTGTATTATTCTTAATATTTTCACGATTTTACTTTTTTTATATTTTTATTTCACTTTTAATTTTGATGTATTTATTTTCTTGAATTTTTTTTTTTAATTTACATCTTTGTCATGTCATTACAAAATACTGTGTGTCTATATTTTATAAGCATGAATCTGACAGTAGCAAATAATTATTAAATTTTTTAAATGTCTAAATACTTTTAAATATATCTACTTAA